GATGCAGCCACTGGGCGCGTTCACCTTTGTCATGGGCCTGCCAGGGCCTGGCACACAGGAGGTGTCACAGGCGACTGCAGAATGAGGAACGGGGATCAGGCAGATGGGGGTCCCTGTGGACGGCCCTGTAAATGGGGAGCCAACAACCCGCTCACACAAGGGGCTGGGACCTACTTAAGCCCTCAGACTGTGGGTCCGAGCCTTGACTGTGCCTGAGCCTGTGCACAGGCCCCTCTGTGGTGGCCTAGGGCTCTGAAGCCAGGCCTTAGCCAGGCCTGGCTGTGTCACACCGCTGTGTCACTTGACCCCTCACCTGAAAGCAGGGATGCCCTTTGCCCTCAGACTGTCACAGGGTGAAGTGACCACGGTAACATACTCAGGGCCCACGGCAAGGGCAGAAGGACCATCTCCCGGGGCTCCGTGGACAAGACCCTCGGGGGCTCTCAGAGAGCGGGGCCTGGCCTTCTCCCCCGCATTGTTGGTCACCCCGCAGCGCCCGGCACATGGGACCCGAATGAGCGAGCAGCCGTGCTGCCCATCCAGCACGTGGGCCCGAGCGTCAGCAGAGAGGGAAACGGCGCCTCGTGGGGCATGGCACAGAAGAGGCGGCTTGGCTGACCTGAAGGCCTGCACACTGCCCCCTCAAGGTCTAGCCGGGGTGGGACCCTGCAGGTGCCCACTGAACGCCTGATGAGTCCCAGCGGATGACACGGTGGCTGATGGCCGAGCCTCGAGACGAGTATCTCCCAGGGTGGCCTTGCCGGCTTTTACAGGGCGGACTGAGGCGCGAGGTCGCACAGGGATTCGAACCCCAGCCCTCTGGCTCCTGCCTGGGCGCTGAGCCAGTGTCAAGGGGCCTCTCGAGCAAGAAGCCCACTGGAGCCGGGTAGCTACTGAGAGGGGACAGGACTAGGAGGTGAGAGAAGGGAGGTGACTGCGAGGCCCCCGCTGTCGCTCTGGGCCCGGCCCCGCTCCCCAGTGCCCTCCACCCAGGGCGCAGGCTCACCTGGCAGAAGGTGGGCGTGTGGACTGCCGACAGCGCCTGGCGCAGGGCGTCCTCGTCGCTGAAGTCGGGCGGCAGGCGGTCGATGCAGAGGCAGCGGGAGTGCAGCAGGGCGGGCGTCAGCTGCCCGGCGTCCGTCCAGTGCACGTAGAGGGTGGGGGGGCCCAGCGG